TCCCAATGAGGAACTAGGAGCACACAGAGGTAAAGTGCCATGGCCAGTGTCACCAGCCAGTGACTGACAGACAAGGTGCCACTTGCAGACTCTGTTGCCAGGGGAGGGCTCTGCCTGGCCTGTCCTCACGTTGCCCCCTTCAAGATCCCAGGGCCATGCACGCACATTTTGGTGTAGGACAGTGGTTGGCAAACTCATTGGTCAACAGGGCCAAATATCAACAGTACAACAATTGACATTTCTTTTGAGAGCCAAACTTTTTAAACTTCAACTACTTCTAATGCCACTTCTTCAAATGGAAGAGCCACACTCAAGGGGCCAAAGAGCCACATGTGGCTCGAGAGCCACAGTTTGCTGACCACAGGTGTAGGTGGTGATGGAAGAATATGATGCATTTTCTAAAACAACCGAAGGAGCTGCAGGTGTGGGCAGTGTCAAGTGCAACTGCTGGATTTGCAGTTTTGTGAGTTGATGGCAATACACAGCTTAACCTTTTTGTGAAAGAGCTGAGTGGAATCCGGGATCCTGAGGCTGCTTGGCCCCTATGAGAAAATAAAGCACCATTCTTGGCTAATGGTATTCCTCAGTGAGGATTTTACCCTATCATATCTTAAAAGCCAAGTGCAACCACAGACCCTGATAGATCCTACATGGTTTGGTGGCTTTCTCCTCACTAGCATTTGGCTGGCCAGGAAACTTGATTTGAACCAAGTTTAGACAAGCTGTATTTGATATTCTCAACTTTTTGAGAGATTCATAAATCACCCTGCCCTCAGGGGAGGGTGGGTGGGTGGGAGATAATTAACCAAGGACCTTGTATGCATCTATGCATGGACCATGGACACAGACAATAGGGTGCTGAAGGCCTGGGGTGGGAGACAGGGGGAGGGGCGGGTTTGGAAAGGGGATAATGGGGAATCAAGGGGACATATGTGATACTTTCAACAGTAAAGAATTATTAAAAAAAAAATCACCCTGCCCTGGAAATGCCTTCTCCCTGCCCAGATTGTCTAGTATACTCTTAATTAGTACATTAATTTTCTTAAGGAGCTAACCATTGAAGATAGACACATTTCTGGAAGATTTTGGTGGATGGGCAGGGCCCTTATTCTCCATGTGAACTGTCACAACCAGCCTCTGCAGCCCTGGGACTTTCAGTCCTTGTGGCCCGAGGATTTGGACCATGGTGCCACTTACCAGCTCAGTGCCTTGGGCTATATTCAAACTTCCTAAGTCGTCTTATTTATATAATACAAAAGCTAATCTGTGAATGAAAATTCAGTAAGGTACTCTGTTAGGCACTTGGGACCTTGGAACAGAGAAGGTTTGTGGAAAATAAACAGCAGAATTCAGGGCCCTTGCCCTTGAGAAGTTGTTCTTAGTACTGGCCTTTCTGTTGTTCAGCAGCCACAGAATTGAGTTCCAGTTGTGTGTGTGTGTGTGTGTGTGTGTGTGTGTGTGTGTCTGGCGGCGGGGGGGGGGGGGGGGGGGGGGGTTTGAGGTGAGGGACAGTGGGGGAGCTGCTCCCCAGCAGATCAGGCCTGCAAGACTGAAGCTGGAAGTGCTAATGACATATGATGTACCTGTACTTAGGCTGGGGTGGGAGGGTGTGACCAGGAAGGGCTCCAGGGCTGAGTTAAGCCTCCTCCAAGGTTGGGGAGACCTCTTGTGGGCTCAGAAATAGTGCATGGCATCCAGTCTCCTCACAGGTTGGTTTCTGGAGTGTAGATCTCACTCTCCTTGAATGAGTCCATCAGCCAAGGTGAGGTTTGTAGCAAACCCTAGAGGAAGGTCAGTTTGAGACGAAAAACTGGCTTATTTTACAGAACAGGAAGTAGAGCTATTTGCCTCTGTAGCATGAAACAGCCATTATTTCTTTAAAACTCACCAACTCCAAGGAGTTCAGATCAAAGCTCATAAGAATCGCCTAAGGGCAAGGTTAGGCAGCATAAGATTATACAATGAAACTGAATTTATGTTTTGTCTTTTTTTTTTTTTTACGAACTTTCAAATATATATTTTTTCTTAGAATTTAAAAGGGAAACTAAACGTTCTAGCTGTCAAAAGTCTGTGATTTTTATAACAACATATCAGGTTTTGAAATAAGCTCAATATTTCAATATTTTACACGTAGCTCTGATTTTAATTTTAAAGTGGCAGAGTTCAGGGAACACCTCACCAACTGGGCAAATATGGGAAGAGTTGCTCTGCTTCGGTGGAAAAGGACTTGGAGACCAGATTAGCACCAGTAGCTCCACTCGCCCTGTGCCAGGTCCTGTGCTTGCTGGCAGGCTCCCTCGACCCTTTACAGATAAGAAAGCCGAGCTTTATTTAGAGAGATTATGTGCCATTCGTTCCGAGCTGCAGAGGAGGGAGCTTAGGCAAAACTTCAAGTGAGCTGTCCAATAAATAATAAGCAAAACGAACCTCTTGTTTTCCATGTAAGGGCATTCATCTAATATAACTAATTCCTCTCTCACTGCTATTTATCCTCCAACCTCTCCTTAACTTAGACCTCTACCCAGACCTGGGAGATGCTAGAGAGACTGAAAATTATTGTAAACACGAATACTTTGAAAAGAAACTCAGTTTTTTTTCTTCCAGGACTGTATAGCAATGGCACTAGGTTAATGCCAGGTGAGGATGTAAGGTTAATTTGTGATTAACAGGTGGACTGTTTTTATGTTCGTCTATAATTGGAAATTATTCTCTGAAGTGGCTTAAGCACTTGGGAGGCAGCTCCATGAAATGAAGAAGGACTGGTCTTTGAGGACAATAGGTCCACTTTCTCTTCCCCATAAAGATCCTTCGTTTATGCAGTCTTTTATCCTGTGCTCTGTCAGAAAGGATATGCAGAGGGTCAGCCCAGCCGTGCAGACTTGGTGTCAAGTTCTGAATTAGTGATCCGAGTTAATGAGGTTTTACTGTCTCATAACGGGTCTTCCTTGTGAAACTGTAAAACACAATTCTGCTTCCCTGTGGTAGGTGCAATTTACGGTCCACCACTCACTAGTACAGGGTTTCAGCCAGAAAGTCAAGTTGACTTTCTAAGTGTTTCCTTTTGTGGAATGCCTGAGGTCAGGCTGCTGTTGAATCACAGATTTTCTGAAAAAGAAGCAGCTGCCAGGAGAATTGCATGTGAGAAAAATCGGAAAAGGATTAAGTAGATTGGGGTAGAACAGAGGAAATCTAGGGTTTAGCATATGCCAGTAGGCAGGGGATTCAGCCTGTCGGAAGCTGAATAGGAGTGGCCATTGGCTGCCTATCTGAATATCCCCCGGGTGTCCACTCGGAAATTTAGGGAAGGGATGGGCCCCCTGTTCTAATCAGAAAGTGGAGAAGGGGCAGATTTCTCTGAAGGCACTTAGACATATGTTCCATTGTTCTATAGGGAGGCACCATCCTTCCCTTTGGGACAGAGAGGATGGAACGAAAACTTTATGAACTGGAAATTGTACATCTGAATGGAAAACACAAGCAGATGTTGGTTGTCCAGGATAGAGGAAAACTGTCAAAATTTCAGGTTTCTAATCTCTCTATGTAAGTAGGTTAGAAATGAGCGGTAGCTTAACCATTCTGCCAAAATATGTCGGTGCTGTTTATCCTCTCAACTGTGTGTGTTTCAAATATCTGATTCCCTCATGGTAGGTCAGTTCTAGCTTTCAGTTAAACCTCCTCAAAAGTCCTTTGAAAGAACCTCATTGAATTCTTAAGAGCCAGGGTCCTGGGATAAACTTTTATTTTTAGTTGATTTGCTTGTAGACATTTTCATCCAGGCTTATTTCTAGTCTTGATGAAATAACTGTTTTCCCCAGAGAGTCAGATGAAATTAAGAAGCTCTTCAATTGATCTCCGGCTCTGATTTGCTCCTAGTGATTCTAGGATCAAGGAATGTTTACTCTAGGACTATAAACATGCCCACTGCTTCCACCTTGACACATTCTATAGGAAACTCTGACCATGGTAATATGAATATCCTCACCCTTAACCTCCCTAGGTGCTTAATTTTTAAGTCTTTGTTTTTGTTATCACAGAACAATAAGATAACTTATGTGAAATAACTGACAATCTCTGTGAAATATTTTCACAAGCTATGAAACTTATACACTGTGGGCTCTTGGAGTGGATTTCTTCCTTTGTGTGTGTGTGTGTGTGTGTGTGTGTGTGTGTGTGTGTGTGTATGTGATTGAATAATCACTTTTTTTCCCCTACTGATAAATCTGAGGCACCTAGAAAAGGTCATTCACAGACAACTGGCTTGTTGAATACATCACAGAAAATAACCTTTCATGATGATTGTGTGGTCAAAATTTAAATGCTAAATCATCAAACAGATTTGAAAAGAAAGAATGCCATCAATCACAGCATTTTTACCTTCACGGAAACTAGATCTATTGAAATTTACTGGTAAATAAAAATACTTTCTGGCTTGGGAGAATCAACCCAGTTTCTGATACTTTTCTCCCCCTGCTCCAAAAGTGTCATCAGTCTCTCTGTGTAGATGCAGTGCAGCCAGGTGTTCAGAATCAGAGGCGGACAAAAAGAATTAGCTTCTTGCTGAAGAGGGGCAGTTAAGGCAAAGCAAAAAAAAAAAAAAAAAAAAAAAGGTTGGTGTGACAGGGCTTAAAACTATGAAAAATGTAGACCCATTGAACTGAACCCCTTTTTTCCCTTCTCCTGCCTCCAGGAATAATTCGGCTGCAGAGCTGACTTCAAGGACTTGGATTGTTGACCTCATCCCAACATCAGAACCTCAGCGGTTATTCTGATTTTTGCACCATTCCAGGCAAGTTGACTCTATATGGAAATAAAAACTGAACCTTAGAGGTCTGATGGAAATTCACTGTGACATTCCAATCAAGAGAACGTGCTGAAGCCCACAGAGCCTTTCTCAGAGGGCCTGATGGTAGCCTCCAGAAGGTGCGGCCTCAGGTGGTCCCCCTTCTTCTGTGGCAAGAATAAACTTTGGGCCTTGGATTGCAACACCATCTGCGGAGAAAATGGTATGCGAGGGAAAGCGATCGGCCTCTTGCCCTTGTTTCTTCCTCCTGACTGCCAAGTTCTACTGGATCCTCACCATGACGCAGAGAACTCACAGCCAGGAGTACGCCCATTCCATCCGCATGGATGGGGACATCATTCTGGGGGGTCTCTTTCCCGTCCACGCAAAGGGAGAGAGAGGGGTGCCGTGTGGGGAGCTGAAGAAGGAGAAGGGGATCCACAGACTGGAGGCCATGCTTTATGCAATCGACCAGATTAATAAGGACCCCGACCTCCTCACGAACATCACCCTGGGCGTCCGGATCCTTGACACGTGCTCCAGGGACACCTATGCTCTGGAGCAGTCGCTGACGTTCGTGCAGGCACTGATAGAGAAAGATGCTTCGGACGTGAAGTGTGCTAACGGAGACCCACCCATTTTCACCAAGCCTGACAAGATCTCTGGAGTCATAGGTGCTGCAGCCAGCTCCGTGTCCATCATGGTTGCTAACATTTTAAGACTTTTCAAGGTAGGTAAAGGCATTGTCTTCCTGACCATTCTGAAAGAATAGTAAGTTGTTCTGACACCAACTGCAGGTTTAAAGAAGAAAGTGAAGATGGTGAAGAGGCTCATTGAGCCCCTTCAGGGTCACCAGGTTTCCCTAATAGAGGATTCTGGGTCTGGGTGTCTCCATGTGTTAATTTAGCCCCATTATTTAGAACGAACCATGGCTGCTCTTTTTCTGAACCAACAGAAGATGTTAATTTCTGTGACATGTTGAGTCCTCCACATCCTGGAATGTCTTCTTTACTGAGGCCCATTTTAATCAAAGCAAGTATTTCTAGAGAGCATAATGAACTCTTTGCACATTTATCATAGGAAACATTGCGATGGTATTTGAGACATTAGATAATTTACTTGGTGAAAGTTCTTTAAAGTGGGATGCTCTGTTATGACAAAAGTTCCTGTGTGCAGAAACAGTATTTATTACTAATGGGTAGATGGGAGTGACACTCTGGGCTAAGATGGCCATAAAATTGTCAGGTTTATTATAGCTACAGAAGAGCAGAACCTCATTAATTCAGACTGCCCTCATGCAGCCCTGGAGTAATTATATATATTTCTTACTGAGTTGAAAGTTCAAATTTAGCAAGATCATTCAATACTTTTTGATTTAGATTTCTATTCAGATGATCTATTACCTATAAATTACACTTACATATTAAATAAAATTGGCAAAATAAAGTGACGTATGTAACAACACCTTGAGAGTATGAAGTGCCATGAAAACAGTTATCGTAACTCATTAACTTTCTCATTGTAGTTGTTAATATCCATTATGTAGTCTTTTGTAATGACAATTTTTAAAATTGAAAATACTTTTCATTCTGATTTCCTAGTCTGGAACATGCCTTTTCCAACTTATTCTGAGCTAATGAGGCTTTGCTTGGTATTGAGAAACCGTTCCTATGCACATTACATTTAAACGTATTAAGAGAATATGGAGAATTAGGTGACAGATCTAGTGACAAAAGAGAGCCAAGTGATGGAAAACCTGCTTCACAGTAAAGATAAAAGGAATCGCATCAAAGGCTTTCTGGTTTGGAAGGTCTCTTGGAGCACCTTCTAGTGTGGTGTAATCCTCTCTGTAACACCCTTCACCCCCAAAGTGGCTGTTCAGCTTCTGAGTGAATTCCCCTAGTTTGGAGAAGAGAATGCTAAGAGGCAACTTAATGACCGGATGGCATTTTCTCAAATGAGGAGGCTGCTGAGCAGAAGCAGCTCTCCGTGTCTGGGGAGCACTGAACAGGCACAAACAGGCTGTAGGGAATTCCGGACACGTTAGAGCAGGACATTAGGAGGAGCCCCACGCTGAGAGGAGGACACCGATTAAAACAGGCAGCCACGGGCGCGCTCATTCTTCATCTCTGGAAACTTTTGAGGCAAATGAGCAAGTTGTTAATAATTTATCCTGGGCTTAGCTGACCCCTTGTCCAGAGGCAAGATGCAGAACCAGGATTCTGCAGGGTTTCCTTGCATCCTGGGATCTAGGTCTTTTCCCAGCAGTTTTCGAGCCACATGGCATTTTCTGCTCGGGGTGATGGCCTACTCCAGCCACCTTCCCACTTCTCTGCCTTGATCTCATGCCCTGCTTTCTCCAAAGCATCTCTTTCTGTTCCTAACGCAGCCATGATGGCCCAACGACACTCACTTTTAGAGAGGAGGAACACCTTTATGAAGATTGTCTCCCTTCCTCTGTTACCTTCCCCTAATGGGCTAATTCTGGTTCCCATCTATCCCACCAGAAAGACTTGGAATCCTTCTTCTTCCTGTAGTCTGGTGCCCCATTAGGCAAGGATTTGAGCAGGGGTTGGAAGTGGTAAGTGCTTATTTGAGATTCTCAAAGCTTGTTTACATCAGTTGTGGCACAGAGCCAGCTTCTCTGTAGAATGGGGCTATTGACATCATGTTAGGTTGTTGGGTGGGTTTGATGAGAAAATGCAGGGATTCTAGGATCTGGCCACCTCCTTTGCCTCCTTGAATTGCCAAAGGGTACCTGGGAGCCTCCTCGGGCCCTCTGAAAGGCAGGTTTTGCTTTTATGCAGTCTGGACCTGGCTTCTTTCCGTTCTCGTCTTCCCTCATGGACTGTCTGGTTCTCCCCTTACTCTTTCGGGTAACCCAGTGGGGGAATTACCATGGACTCTTTGGGCAGAGCCCAAAGCTCCAGCCAGTTTCTGAGACATGGTCAGTGCATAAAGGGGCAAGAGCACAAAGAGTGAAAGACGTTTTGCCTGGAGCGGACATTGGTCATGGTGAATGTCATGATGAAGATCAGTACCCTGGCACTGAGTGACCATTTAGTTTATAGAAGTGAATGTATTTATTAATCAAATTACTGGGCTTGAAAAATTTGTGTTTTTTAAAAGTAAGGGAGAGGATTTAGGTGCTCAGCCCATCTTCCAGCTCAGCATGAAACCACATGAATGTGATAATTACAACTTGTTGTGCTACTTTGATTCACTTTGATGATTTCTATGAGACCTCCAGGCAGCACTTCAATAATATTAAGTATGAATTGATGATGGTCACTTTTAGAATTAGAAAATGTTCCCATTAATGTATAACTATATCCTGTTTAAACACACATATGCTGGGGCTGACATGAAATATTAGAATAGCTCTTAAAGTTATAATTATAAAATTAACACATTGGGATTGGCCTATAGTTCCACTTTAAAAATGAATGATTTTATTAAGTCAAGTGCCCTTAATACAATTATTAATTTTATTAATTAGGTCAATATTTAGGACAGTTTTATGGAGCTTGGGCTCCTCCAGGACAGCATAAGACCCACAGAATCTGTAGTGATGCATGGGTATTAGTATATTGCCACTTATACCTGGATTGATGAAGTTAAAGAGGGTAGAGCATCTTGGTTTGAAAATATACAAATATTTAACCCTGACTATAAGGGATGTGAGCAAGGTCTTTTAATGCATTTACTCATTGTCCTGCTCAATAATAAATATTACTTGGAGGTTTTTAGAATGTAGCTTGGATCTGTTTGAAACTGTATAGAAAACATTTGGGCTAACATTGTAAGTAATCTCCAGATTTCTCAGTTCCCTTTTTTCAGACAGCCCTGGTACAGGCATGTAGTAATTTAGCATGAGCATGTAGTAATTTAGCATGGGCTCCCTTGTGAAGGAGCCAATCTGTGGGCTTCTCCATCTTCCTGTCCTTCAGTCTTGGCCCTCCTGTGGCAGCCTGTCCTTGTATCCCTCCATGTTCTCTTAATTGAAGTCTGGTTTCTGGGAAAAGTTATCAGTCATCTGCATATAGTATGTCTGTGTTGAAGTCAGAGGAGGATTCTGTCTTCTGCACGATCACTAAATATTGAATGAAATAATTTGTGTTGGGAAAGCGGATTCAGGCACCAGTGGGGGGAGGCTCATTTAGCTCCCAGAGACCTCCCCTGGAGGACAGTTGGGCAGGGGGCCAGAGCCAGACACCCCTGGGTGCAGAAGCTGCCCTGTGGTCTGCGCCCACAGGACTCTCCTCATGCCCCAGGGGTAGTGTGTGCGGCTCAGCAAATGGCAGGACCCAGTGAGTGAGTGCATGCCTCCAGCCCCCTCCCGGGGAACTATTTTAATGATTGAAGCGTCTCACATTTCCCAGGTGAGTTGGGAACGAAAACAAGTTTGTGAGTTACAGAACAAGACTTGAATGAACCGAACCTTTTAGAAATACGACTGTTTCTCAACACACACACACACACACACACACACACACACACACACACACACACACACAGCCTTTATATATAGGTTAGCATGGGGGCAGAGTGGTCACCTGGGCAATTGTTTAATCTCTATAGCAAGATAATGGTTTTAGATAATAGTACTATCCATTATGATAATGTGACATGTAACTGCAGAACCGCAAAGCCAGTTCTGCTCCATCCTGCACGGAGGGGAAAATGCCAGCATGGTGGCTCCTGGATTGCAGAGAGAGGAAGAAAAAAAGGAAGCAGCACTGAGAGCTGGTGCCTTTTGAAAAGAATTTAGAAAATAATGAGAATTCTTTTGGAAATGTTGACTGGGAAGCCCCTAAGTTAAATTTGTTTCATTAAGTTGTTTGGAGGAATTTGCGTATGTTTTATAAGGAGCTCAGACTTTGTTTCCCCATTTTCTAGGACATTTCCACCTCTCCTTCAAATTAGAGCAAATCTGTTCCTCAAAACACCTATCTTACTTGGAGCAAAGATCGAACATTCCACGTTACAAACAGCACATGGTGCTTGGAGGTGAAGCATATTAATGTCCACATGGATGCATTGGGGACCTAAAAGGACAGTGTCAGGTTTCATTTCTCTCACTCATGTTTTCCTCGTCAACTTCACCCAGAGAGTAAATTTTCTACTCTTGAAGGATAAGAGTTAGTCTGTAGTGTATACTTCCCAAAGCCATTTAGTGAGACTTTCCGATAGAAGTCTACCTATGGATGGGTTAGAAAATTTCTTCCCACGTGGCAGTGTCCTGGTTATAAATGGCTAACACTGACCTTTGTGTAAGTAAATGGAGCCCTGAGGCACCCCGTTACCCTGGTGGAAGCCTTTGCCTACCTGGCTATGTTTACAAAGATGTATTTTCTTCCGAGAGACTCTGCTAATTGTAGCAACCACTTCCACAAAGCCAAACGTGTTGCGAGTTATTTATCGCACACAATGGGCTTTGTTAACTGTAAACTCTGAAAAGGTAAACCTTCCAAAGCCGAGCTCATCCAGTGAGATGGACAGATAAATGAGCCCAGTCAATAAACTCAGCAGGAGGTAGCATTGGATGTTAAATCTTACTTGATGGCAAATAGATAAATGGAAAAATTGAAAGATAGACTCCTTCTGTCAATTGTTTGCTACGGCAGCAAGCTCTAAATTAGCTTTGTAAAGCAGACTTGGTGAAGTCACTCTCTTTCTTAGAACTCTGATAATGGCTACCATTACCTCCAGAATGAAGGTCCGTCTGTA